CTGTTTTCATTTTTTTTNTGGGCTTGTATGTTACGTTGTATAAGGCGACGTTTCGCATCCCTATAAATTTTTAACAAATACGAGTATGGGCAATCATGGCTTGCCCCAGTGTACGCAGCCAGCGCCCAAACAGCTGAGCGAAAGATTATGAGACACGCACACCCAAGTAAACAACTGAATTCAAAGGCCACGTGTAATGGCTGCCAGGCCCGTTATGAACTCTCGCGGTGGCGGCCGTTAGAGACCAAAAGCTGTCAGGTAAAAACTCCGCGTGGAGGGCAGCGGATAGAGCGGCGTGTGCTGCCTACCGGTGTTGAATGATTGGAAAAACAAAGTCATGTAGTAGATAAAGATTGAGGGTGATTGAAGCAGAATTGTTTTGAGTTACCGGGCAAAGTTGCTCGCAAAGCATTTCCTCAAGCATGAAAATAGAGCATTAATGAAGTTAGGCCGATGTAATATAGGAGGAAAAATTTCTGCGGGAAAGAATTCGCCGAGTCTTATCCACTACTTTTTTGGGCACTATTAATTCGTGATTGTTTTTAACAAATTTTCTGGTTGCCGATCTCTTTTTGACTTTGTATAGTACACTTGTTCTTTTTGAATGTGTTTGTGTGTGGAATGCATGTGCTTGAGCGACGTTATCATTCTTCTTGTACGCAGATGAAATGGGCTTCTTCCGAGTCTGGCACCGGAGGGGTTCCTGATGGGGATTTTTGTGATCTTCGAACGCCGTTGCTACTTGTTCATCGCTGGCGGCTTCAGAGCTTTTTTTAAAATCACTGATTTTGTAGGCGATACAATATAGCGCTCCCTGACTGTCTGTCCCTCAATGCAATGCCTCTTCTCTGGAGTTATCGGGTGTGCATTCCTTCTGCTGCAATGTCTAGACATGTGTCGCCTGCCTTGCGTAGCGCGTGGCGCTAATTGATTGGATTTCCACGGTGGTGCAGCTGTTGGTTCGCAGTTCGTCCGCCTAAAGAACACCCATAGCATTTCACGCTCAGAGGCTTCCTTTTCATTGGGCCTATCACGTTGTTCCGTCTCCGCCACGGGTACGCGGCGTGTTGCCTTCTGCAACAATAGTAATTTGTACGCCATTATTTTTGACTGTATTTTGGAATTGACCCCAGAGGATGGCCCTCGCTGCTGACTCTGCTCTCTCTAGATGATGCATGCATGAAACAAAGGCAATACAAACACGGCGGTAGATGATGATGTGTTCAAAGTCTGGTTGATCAAGGGCAATTGGTGAAACTAACAAACTTCAGTGGATGATACGGAAGCATAATTTGCCGATTTTTGTCAGTGTCAAAAAGGGAATCACCAATTAGCGTTGTAAGAATTGCCACCGACGCGGCATAGCACTCCCGCCCGGGAAAATACTTTGAAAATGTCATAGAAGTTTAATCACGCGGAAAGCCAACCTCCAGCCGAGCAGCCTGTGCGTCGTACGATGAAGACGCACAAAGTTTTCTCAACTCTACCAGTACCTCAGCACACTTTTGCGCCTCCTGGGCGTCCGCGTGCGCACCTGCTAAAGAGTATATTGAGGCAAAGAGACACAACTCCGTTCCGTATTTAGTTTGAAGTAGGCGAAAAAGTACATCCTCACTTCCCTCGTAGGCTGCAAGAGCTAGATCCACACTCGCAAGGAGCTCTGGAGCATGACTTGCGTAGACACGTTCCAGACGGTTTCTTGTAATATTGAAATGAAGTGGCAAAATTGACATGATAATTGCAAAGTTATTGTCATCCTGTTCCAACGCATCCTGGTTTACGCTCTCATGTTATCCATCAATCCAGGTGGTGCGGCGCCGAGGCACAGCCGTGGCGCTCAAATCGGGAAGAACTGTCTCCGGACCATGCTTGCCTCCTAGCACCTTGAGGATTCCTTCCTCTCGGCCATTATAAATCTAGAGGACGAGCGTCGCAGTACCCACATTATCCGGTGCGTAACACCTGTAAAAGCGTTCGGGGCGTCTGAGGCTGGCCTCATTAGCCCCTGCCATTTGAAATGTTTGGTGAAGCTGCCGCTGCCGTTGTAGCTTGCACTCGCCCTCGCCAGTGCCCCCACCCACGACGCCTTTTGTTAAAACTAGTCTTCACATTGTCAAGTGAGAAGAAGATTTGTCTGACGATGAGAAAGGTAAAAAAGTAGTGACCATCTCTAGTTTTTAAAATAACTATAATAATAATAATAGGCATAACCAAATAAGTCGAAAATAAGAGGCAGAAACACATAAGGAATTTTTTTTTCATGATTATTAGCACATATTAATATTCATAAGGCTGTTAGGATACTCAAGAAAATAAATGCCATTACCGCTTCCCCCAGGCAGAAAATATTGCATATATATATATATATATGGATAGAAATTGAACCATGTACATGTCCTTTTCTCGCAGTGGCTCACTTTATTTTAGTCTGTGGGAGACGCCTGTGTTTTTTGCATCAAGGATATACATGGCCAGCAGAAAAAAAAATTGCACAGAAATATGTATCCAAGCAAAAAGAAAATCCGTTACCTCTGTAACTCCGCTTTTATTTTTATTACTTCATAGCTTTCAGAGATTTACGAGCCTTTGATGCTCTTCGGCGCAACAGGGGGGGGGGAGTAAACTGTGCCCGAGTTACTTTTTAAAGAAAGTCTAGATACAATGATTGCATTCAAGGAACTGAATAAAAGACATTTACCAATATTATCGTGAAACGACTGCAGGAAAAGGCTAAAGACAACACCCAGAAAACCTTTGAAATAATAATAATAATAATAATAATAATAAAACAGGCCCCAAACTCCAATATTTTTAAAAATTTTCCACAACAAAATCCCAGCAGTACTCGG